GCGGTATCACTGTCTGTGGGTCTTGTTCTTGCTGTTTATCCTTGAATGGGTATTGCAACTTACAGTTGTCATGGCCAGACATACAGGTCCTGCTTTGTCATTGTGTAGGAGAAAGCGCTCAGAAAAGAAGTCACCAAAACTGGGGGGGAGGAAGGGGGGTGTGGATGTGAGGAATCCTCATAATTTCTTTGAGGAATCCTTTTCTATATGCCCTATCCTACAGAGATGGTGTTCTTTCATTAGTAGCTTTGATGAATAATAGTGGGTGGTTCTTTCTGAATGAAAAGAATTATTTAAGGTGGTAGTTCCAGGGTTCTGCCTTGGTTGCAGATGGTAGTGAGGAGGCACAGTTGCCTCACTGAGTAAAGCTGGGCTCTTGAAATTGGGTACGTGCAACTGACTGGTGGGGAGAGTTCTCTTTTTTTCTTTGCAGTGGTTGAAAGTGCATTATCTGCTTCAGACACAGGCAGCCTCCCAGGACAGATTAGAACAAATCAGAGCCAGTCATCATGCTTCACTGAGAAACCAGCTAAAACACAGAATTAGAGATCTCGAATGTGAATTGGACAGGATAAAAAATACCCAACAAGACAGTATTTTTCAAAAAGAATCCACACAGGCAGAAGTGGAAAGGTACAAAGAACTGTATCTGGAGGAAGTAAAAATTAGAAGATGCCTAGCAAATAAATTGGAAAGGTAAGTCCATGCTTTTTTGGAATGGTAATAAGATACTACTTTTTCCTCATGCATTTTCCGTCTAAAATCCCTCTTCTATATCTGGTCAGCATTATGTATGTATGCATATTTGTGAGGAAAGTACCTTAAGACCCTTGCCCTTCATTAGAACTGTCTTCATTTCTCTTTAGTATTCCAGCAGTAACACCACTGATCATGGCATTAATAGTGTATTTTTTAACTTGATTGTGTTTTAACAGGCAGCCTTTTTGCCAATCTCTAATAATCTCCTCCTCTTATTCTGTGTATGGCAGGAAAGGTAAATTTCATGTCCTTTACTGCTTGAATAAGGATAGGCCCTTCAGAGAACCGAATTTGATTCTTTGAAGCAAAAAGAAAAAAAAAAAAAAAAAAAAATCTTTTTTTGGCTTCCATTTTAGCAGTATGTTTGAGGTTTGAGCTTTCCTTGGGAAAGAGAGGGTAGCCCAGAGTTCTTATGCAGGTGATGTACCTTTCAGAAGAAGCTATGTATACACATGGCATTCAGATTGCCATTTGAAGCCCTAATGCTGAGAAGTCCTAAGTGTTGGTAACTCTTGCTGGTCCTTGCAAGTAGTGTGACTTCTTAGAAATAGGTTCTCCAAAAAACCTCAGATCAAATGATGTTCTTGTTTTGGATGCTCTTAATCGCTTCCACTTTTAGAAGTTGAATAATAGTCAAAGACCTGGAGGGTAACTTTGCGAACGTGTTACTACCAAAGATAATTCTTTGTATACTTCTGAATGTTTCAGAGCTAATGAAAGACTAGCAGAAGCCAATGCTAAGCTCCTTCAGGAGCGCCATAGAAGCAAATCTTTAATTGCAAGCAGCATTGTCAGTGGAGGTCTGGCTGCAAGTCCAGTTCTGTATTCAACTGAACTGGGACATCTTGGCAACAATTTGGCACTGAACAGAAGTCTAAGTCTAGGAGGAAGCTTCCTAAGCCCAACTGGGAATGCATTATCATCAAGAAACAGGGTTGAAGCCTATGTGGCTAAGGTAAGCATTTTGAAATACTGTTCTCAACTACTGCTAAAGAGTATCCGTAAGCAAGGTTATGCTTTTTAGCCTAAAGTTAGAATCCATTTATAGTTCCAAACCATATGGTCTAATATGCCAAAACAACTGCTAATCATCAAAACAGTGCACAACTATATGTGGTAGGGATGAAGACTTTTGGTCCTCAGGGTTGTACAAATTTCCAAGAGTGCTCAAAGACCAAAAAATACTAAATAATGAACTGTGTAACTACATTCTTTTACAAGAGAAACTGTGATAAAGAATACTGTGGCATAGGAAGTTCCCAGCTAAGCTCTTCATTAAATTTTAATGTATCGTATGTATGATCTATTTAAAACAGCTAACTTTATGATGAGTGTAAAATCTCATCAGACATCTATCTTTGAGACACCTTTTCCTTCTTCACTGATCTTCATTCTAGCAGTTTCTTCACTGGAATTTGCTTTAGTACATTAATACCAACAACAAAGGGATGCTTCAGAAATAGGATGATATAAACAGGATCACATAACTTCTCACTTTATACTTCAGTACAGGACGAATACTATGCGTAGGAGGCATTTGTTTTTGTAGTTTCTGCTACGTGTTATTACATGAAAAGGTAAAGTTAACTACTCCTCAGGAAGTCTTCACAGCTTTCTAATTTTGCAGCAATGCTGCAACCTCTGCAATACCTCTGGTCAAAGTATGCCCTGTAATTAGCAGTCAGTGTGATAGCACATCCCTCACAGAATGGTGAACATTTTATCATGAGATTGGAAACCAGGTGTCAATAGTTGTAATTGGTTTCCCACCTAGCATAGGATTGAAGCACGGACAAGCTTCTCTATTCAGTCAGTGTTCTATCCCTCACATACTGTGTTGTTGAATGAATGTGAGAAGTATTTGTTCATCTCAGTTCAGTAGTCCCACCCACATCGGAAAGAACCCATTTAAACAATGTGTCTACATATTGCACCTGGTTTTAAAAACAAAACAAAACAAGCAAAAAAACCCCATAGACAAAGCAGTGTAGGTAATGCGTAGCAGTGCCAGTTACAGAGATGAACTTTTCTGTATCACTATGAATGTGTTTTTCAGGTCAGAGGACATACATTTCAGAAAGAACTCAGGAGGCCATTAGTACCGTACCATCTGCAGGGCTGTTCTGCATGCAAGCAGCAGAAAGGAGGCAAAATTCAGGGACCCACTGCAAAAGTGAAATAAGGAGAAGGCTAGGACAAGGGAACAAAGAGGGGTAGGGAGCAGGGAACAAGAAAGGTCAGAGAGATAGGGGCAAGATCTTGAAAGAAGAAAAAGGCAAAGGAGGAAACCATCCCACTTCTAGGAAAAAAGCTGCCCTAGTTTAAAAGAAAAGAGCTAACAGTTGTGCCTTTTTTGAAGAAGAAGAAACAGGGAAAAAGACAGTGAAGGGAAAAGAAAGTGGGAGTACTCAGTGCTTCTTAACCGAATTACAGCAACATTCTTCAGGTAGTCCTTTCTATTTTAACTTTCCAGAAGAAACTGGAACTCTCTGGGCATCTCAAAGTTTTGTCATTCTCGGGATAGGTACTTTTACTGGTTTAATAGCTTCCCTTAAGTATATTACAGAAATTAAATATTTTAAAAGACTATTTCATAGCTTGTTGTTTTTATCCAGTTGCTAATATATGCAGATATATATATTTCAAATAGTTACATAGGCTGCTTCAATGTTTTGTGAAAAATGGTTCCCAAATCTACTTGTGAAAAACATTTGAGCTGATTCCAAGAAAGTGTGCATTAGATCTGAGAATGGTGATACTGTTCTCACTCAGTATCCTGAATTCAACAGCAGCCATAAGGTTTCTTTTCAGAGCATATGTCTCCCGCATTTTGTGATGGATTGCCATGCTGGGGAATGCTTTTAGGTTTTGGTACTGTTTTTTGAAGCTGCACTTAGAAGGTTTAACAAAAGAGAACCAAAAAAACCCCGTCAGCCTTGAGCAGACTCTCAAGGAAATTGAACATTTACGTATGACATTTTCCCAGTCTCCAATTACTGATGTCAGGTGGAGTTTTCTGTTTGTTAGCTTGGAGGCTTTCTTATATACCTAAATTTCTCCTTCCTAGTGCAGTTTTGTTAGTAGCACTTAGTCCCCTGAAGTTCTCTCTGATCTTGTTTACAACCTACAGAGACTTTTACTTTGTTGTCAGCAGAGGAGCTGAGGGTAATTGGCTGTATATATACACAGTTTGTCTTCTCAGGATTAGCTTTTAATTCTAATATAGTATTAAATTCTAAAGTTTTCTTCCCTGAATGAAGGTGAGTAAAACCATTGCTAAATCCTCAGAGAACTTACCCATTTCTTACCATTTCTGCCAGGTTCTCTTAAGAAAAAGCTGGAAATATTAGCATGCCTGTTTTCCCTCAATCAAAGCAGAAGGCTGGTCTCTGGGACTTAGAATACTGGTGTGAATTTATCTTCCCTGTTACTAAATCCAGCTGCACATCCTTTCGTGATATTTCTTCCTATAATCACCAGTTAGGGAATGACTGAGACCAATTGTAATGGCACTGTCTGTAGCCTCAAGTCACTTAATGTTCAATGTATTCAAGAAAGGCTTAAGACCTGATCTTCTCTTTTAGAGCCCTTCAAAAAAAAGGAACAGGGTTCTCAGAGGTGCAGTAGTTGCTAGAGAACATGCATCTAAGTGGGTATTTCACATAGAACTGCTGGCTTAAGTTTCCTCAGCTGGGTGCAGTATGTCATTAACAGTGTTTGAAGCCATACCATATCTCTGAGGAACTGAAAGTAGAAAATTCCTGATGTGCATCTAAAAAAAGAGGATTGAATTGGAAAATAAGGCTTTAAGTCAGGAAGTAACAAAAGGAAAAAACTGCATGTATCCCTCCGCATACAATAATGGGTGGTGAATCTCGATCAGTTTCCAAATGCAAAATTACCAGATGCACAGTCTGTGCTGTCATTTCTGCGGGAGTCCTGTGTCATTCAGTAGACAAGTTGGAGCATGAGGAAGGAATTCAGAGATGACAGTTTTAGTCTTTGCTGGTTTTACTGTTTAGTACTCTGCCTGTTCACCAGATTATTTAAAGACAGAAGAGTTTCTCTGACTCTAAGCCTTTTCTTCACTTCACTGTTTGCTTCAATTATGCCTCAGATTTTTTCCAGTAACCTGGTTCCCTTCTACAGAATTTCTCTCGCCTTTAAATTCAAGCTGAGCAGCGCCTTCTTGGCTGGAGATTACAAGTGCTCCTGCCACTAGAACTCATAATGACACGGAGTTAAGGAGCTTAAATTGCAGTGTGCCTCAGGTAGTCGTCTTGCACTTCTTTTTTTAGTCAAAGCTCTCTGTGCAGATTTGGTGTTTCTTGGAGTCGCTTCCTCAAGGTGAGAAAGGCTATTTGAAGTAGAGGACATGCCATTCTTAAGAGGAGGATGTTTATGTAAATTTGGTTTGTGCAAAAGCTTTTAAATAGCTTCAGGGGCAAGGAGGTGAAAATACTTCACACTGCTATTATTCAGAATGCTGGTATTAATTCTTTGTCCATGCAGCTATTGGAAAAAACATTGGTAAATTGTGCTGATTGCAAACAAGAGGAAGAAGTGCTCCTCTGGCAAGTGATACAGTTACTTCTTTTAGATATAATTAAGAAATTTGGAGTTTAAAGGCTCAAAAGATTTCACAGTTTTCCTAAACCACTACTTAACATGAGAGGTGAATGTCAGTGATTATGCATATAGCTTTACATTTTGAAGATAGTCATGTTGCAGGCTCAGCAAAAAATGAGCATTTTATTCTTAAAAAAACACAAAGAAACGTGTTCCATTACAGTATAGCCCCTTTCCCCTTACCAAATATATATGCTACAGAAATGAATAACCTTGAAATGGAAGTGCAAAAGTATCTTGAAAAATATAAAATGGTTCATACTGACACAAGTAATTAACCAGTAAAATGCCAATCACATACAAATGTCTTTGGGTTTTTTTGGTTGTTTTTATTTTTATTAGAGCTCCAGTAATGAGGAATAAATTACAAGTACATGAAAAATTCTGTGCATGTAATTACAAACAGTAACTAGCGACTATAGCAACTAGCAATTCATTATGTTCTGGAAGGAGGTTGGATGAAATTTGTTTCATAGTAGGACTTGTGTCATAAGAATGATGTGCGTTGTGTCTTGCCTGTCCTTTACAGGAGTAAAGAGATCTTTGACAGGGTCTTTCTGCCTTTTTATGATCTGGTCTACTGACTCCCAAACTGCTCATGAATTGGCATGTCACCATCCAGAACTAAATTGAACCAAGCAGATGAAACACAAATGTGAGGTACTGCTAGTGGTCTGTGTACCATAATTTGGGAACTGTTGCCTTAGTCCGTAGACTAAGGCAAGGAGTGTCTGCTGCAAGGAGTTTTTGGGACTGGAGTCCTGTTGTTAGGTTTAACAAATGTCAAGCTTAAATCCTAGCAGCTGTACGAAAGACTGGTCAAAATGAATGTGGGTGTCCTGACATAGGAAAATAATAGTGAACCTCCTAGCTGCAACCAGTGTGAATTAGTGGATTTATGAAACCAGTTTTCCTACATAATGTGAGAAAGGGAATGTCTGCTTCCTACTCTCTCCCTCTCAATTTATGTTCCTTTTCTGATTTTGTTTTCCCTCTGCACTCTTGTATTGTAGCAGTCTCTGTATTGTTAGCTTTTTTACTTGCTTCATTTACATGTAGGCCATGTTCTTATTTGTCACTGAAGACCTCTGAACTTAAGGCCGTTTTTCTTTCTTCTTCAGCTCCTTAATCAAAAATCTGTTCTTCTCTCTCTTCTCTGCAGCCAGATACATGACAAGGTTTGTAGCCAGTGTTGTTTAATGTTGGGTGGTATTTTATACTGGAAATGTTTTGTCTATTTATGCTGTTAGGTTTTGATTAAAACTTACTGATGCATTCACATTTTTCCTAATACTGCAAATATTTTGAACTTCTTAGTTTGTCCAAGTGAAAGAATGACTACTGCAGAGTACTTTCATGCTTTATGTATTTGTAATGTTATGGCTTCTGTGATAGTTAACCATCTGTAAGATGACAGTATGGATTTCATCTGTTATAATGGAACTGCCTTACTGCTCAGGAGGTTTGGGATAGTCAGCTGTGATGCCTCTTCCAGGGGGTTGGGGGGAAGGTGAGCAGTGGAGGCAAGTTATAGTCCTCAAGGGTGTATTTTGCCTGGCTTTTCATTCCCTTTTCAGAAATCAGTGTGTCGGCTTGATTTCCACCTATTCCTCTTTCCTCAGGCATGGATGAGAATCACAAATATGTTAATGGAACCAGTAAGAGGAAAACAAGATCTTTTTCTTCCCTTGATTCATCTGCACATGTTGCAGAGGGTCCTCTGGGCCTTCTGGTCATTGTGAAGGCTCCAGAAACCAGTGAAAGTAGTTTCTTCTAACACCTCAACTAGTACTGCTTTGCTTAGGATTGGTCCTGGTTTTGGGTCATCTTTTGGTCTAGGCATTAGTTTTCATGCTTTTTTCTGTTACCTATGTCTCACTTCATGTGTTAGGGGGTCCCTGCTTCCCAGGATTTTGATGCTGCTTGTACCTGCTTGAAAACAATTGGAGGTTTGGGGATTTAAGGGGTCCTTTTCCATTGTTCTTTCAACTCTGTGCTCCTCTCTTCTAGCTGTGAAGGCACAGGCTATTCCAATGGAGTACCAGTGGGTGGTTCTTCCCCTGGAAGAGCTGGTGAATTTGGTCACAGCTATCCCTGTAGTCCTGGAGAGAGGGCCCTTCCCTCCACTTTGCTGGTTTACAGCCCCACTACTTTGGCCCTTGGGGTTACTGCCTGTTACTGCTCCTCTTGTAAGGGTTTGCAGACTGCTTCCCTTACTGAAGCTTTTGCTCTCTATGGCCTGTTGAGTACATTGTACAGTGTTTCAGTTCTTCTCTTTGTTGGTATGTTGCTAGGTGAGCCTGCTCATTTCATAAAATAAGTACTTATTCCCTCAGGGATTTGGTACTAAAATCAGAGAATCACAGAATGGGTGAGGGTAGAAGGGGCCTCTGAAGATCATCTAGTCCAACTTCACCCCTGCTCAAAGCAGGGTCAGCCATAGCAGGTGCTCACGGTTATGTCCAGCCAGGTTTTTATACGTGTCCAAGGATGGACACTCCACAACCTTTCCTAGGCAACTTGTTTCAGTGTTTGACCACACTTACAATTTAAAAAAAAAAAAAAAAAAAATTCCTTGTGTTAAGATGAAATTTCCTCTATTTCAATTTGTGCCCATTCCTCTTGTTCTTTTACTTGGCACCACTGAGAAGAGTCTGGTTCTGTCTTCTTTACTGCCCCCACCAGGTATTTGTACACATAGATAAGCTTCCCCTGAACTTTCTGTACTCCAGTAAAGAAACAGTCACAGCTTTCTCAGCCTCTCCACATAGCTCACATGGTCCAAGCCCTTCAGCACCTTTGTGGCCATCATAGGCCTGGAAGTTGTATGGTATCTATTTTGAAACTCACTTCTATGTGTCACAGACTTGATGGAAAAAATGTAGGAGTCACAAGAATCAAATGTAAACAACAGCTTGGACTATGACTTCAAAAGATCTGATTTCTTCTTATGAAGACTTTGAAGTCAATCATAAGTGAGAATAACTTAATTGGTAGCAATAACCACCTTCTAGGGGACAAAGGGTTAAGTACTCCTTTCTAGTGATCCAAGCTGATATTGGTAACATAATAAAAGCCACAGCACTTACTGTGTAGAAGCTGTAGCTGTTGCTATCTTTTCTTAGTACAAAGTTTGCAAGAAAAAATTATGTGTGCTTTTACATTTTTATATATGTGTCATGGTATTTGCAATAACAATAAAGAAAAATCTTGATGATCTGTAGGAGCTCTTTCAATTTTCCATATTAAGGTGGAGAAAAGAATACTGGTGCATGTTTTTTTCTATATAATGGAATATGTTAATCCTGCAGCAGCTGCTGTTGCACCTCTTCTCTTAGGAAGTTGTGGACGCCAGCCTCAACTGAATTTGTCCCTATGGATGGCATTTGTGCATATCTCAGCATTTAGCTGACATTCTGCTCGTGGATTTGATGATAGGCTTTAGCCATACCTTCATTGTAATAACTCTACTGTGCTTTCTTCCTGTGTATTTTTTTAAATGCCCAGTTATAATCCAGCTGGGGAGTTACAGATTGTTTTGTGCTACAGTTGCTCAGCAATGAGAATGCTACAGCCTGGCTGACCGAGAGTTTCTCTGTATTAAAAATCAAACCCCAAACCAAGATGTTTCTATTTGGGATGATATTTTTACGTTTTACCACGTTATGTGTGGGTTTTAAGAATGTTTTAGAAGTTTAATATTACAAAAATGTAACTGTTAAACATTAACTGTATATTTTCTGTATAACTCTAGGTACGGCGGGAACTGGATGAAAAAATCACTAAAGAACTCGAACAGGGTAATGTGTCATTATGTTAGGAGTGTTTTTAAGGAAGAAGATGACTGTTCCTAACTCTTGAAAAATAATGGCTTGAAAGCTGTTAAGTTCCTGTGCTAAGCATAGGGTTTTTTCTGCTAGCTTTCCAGTTTAGGCTTGAATGTGAAAACTTCCTGCTTACCAAAATATTGTATGGAATGTTATGGAGTTGCCTGAAAACTAACTCATTTCCCCCACACAGATACACATGGATTAAGCTGAAGTCACATTTCACTACAGTTAATCCTCAAGCACAAACATCAAACATAAAAGAAGCCCTGAGATAAGATTTTTATAGATTTTAGCCATCACTTCTCCTTCCATGTACATCAACTGCATTCAGCACTAAACCATACCATACACATTCTCTGCTGTTGGTTCTTGATTTTTGCTATGTCTCTTATTCATCGCTTGTATTTGTAGCTTATGTGTTGTAGTCTTTTTTGAATAAGCAAGAAGAGTATGATCAATGACAAAATATATCCTTTCTTTAGGAAAAGATCATTCAGTAGTGTTTAGGCAAACATAAGATGAGTTGATTGCTTGCAATACATAGCATAAAACATGCTCTATAACATGAGGCCAGGAGTCCAAATTGGAATTCCACCTATTTCATGATAATTGTTCCTCCAGAGTCACTGCTTTGCAGTGACTAATGCTATTTCAAAGCAGGTAGCCCCTGAGAGCATTTCCTTATGTTCCTGTATGCTTTTAATCATATAGAGAGTGTTCAGCTGTTGCTTCATAGCTTTTTCCGTGTGTCTGAACAGACACAAAGCCATTGCATTGCATCCGTGTGCATTTTGAATGTAATTGCACATCTGCTAGGAGTCATCGAGTGTGTTTGGTTTGGGGACCTTGTCTGAAAAAGGTGGCTGGAGAAAGATGGCAAAGGTGGATTTGCTTTCATTGAGTATGCGGTTTCATGGGGGAAAGAGGTTTTGCCAGGGCGAGTTACAAAGACGTTCCTCAGAAAAGGTGCCAGGCTGGGAGACTTGTCCTGGCCTGACTGCGGTGCAAAGGTGCTTATGTTTGCACAGGGAGATTCTTTTAAAGTTTGTCACAGCAAATGCAGAAGCTGGTTTTTAGGAGTAGTATTCTAATAAATCACTGGTTTGAACATTTAAGGAAAAGAGACACTTGAGGTTCAAGAGGTCTGCAGGGGGCTAAATTTAGCACTAGTGTAAGCAGGAGTCATTTGTGGATTCCCTGAAGATGTTCAGTGTATAGACTCTGGAATTTCTTTCACTAGCTTTAGAAATACCGTTGATTGATGAGCAAATGTGGAAAAAATGTGTTTCTTCCTTTGTGCCTAGCCCTTTCATTGTTATGTTCCCTGGAAGTTTTTAAATCTCTTTCTGGATTGTAGACTCTCCAGTTACCCGAAATGCTTTTACAGTGACTTATTTGGTTCTGTCTACTGTAAAAGTAATACCAGGAATTTTGCCTCTTTTCTCCCTAGCCACTGCTGAACTTGAAACTGGATCTGCTGGAGCTTCTCCCATGGTATCCACTGATGGTTCTTCAAAAAATTTCCATGTTGACCAGGATCCCCTTTGCAGGGCAATACAGGAGTACCGTGATGTTTTAACCAAAAATTACCTGATTTGAACAAAATGCTAGGGAAAGGCTCTGGAAATCATTTTGTTTACATAATACTTCTATGGTTTCCCATTACACAGTTCAGATGTGAAAACGTGTTTATTGCAGTCTGAATATAAATTCTAAGTCTATTAAATGGATGTCAAGCACATTGCACTTACCTGTTGGTTTATTGATGCATAGTTACTTTATTTTGCATTCACAATAAGAACCATATCTATTTTTTTATGACTAGCAGATTGACTAATCTTGATTCTTGAGCTTGACAGAACTGTCAAAATGTTTATTAAGGTAGATGCATTATTTTGCTCCACTCATGTTCTGTGTTTAACAAAAGCATTCCCTTTGTTCTGTTTAATCCTTTCACTTTGTGTTTTTAATGTTTCCAGTGTTTATTTTAATGCTTAGGACATTATTTTATGTGCTTTGAGCCCGCTGCTTCAGTCCTGATGCAGTGAATATTTCTGCTGATAAAGTGAAAGTTTTACCAGTGTTCAAGCTGGAGAATAGGGCACTTTACATTGCTGTCACTTTATGCGCCTTAGATTTAAAAATACTGTGAGTGTATAGTAGTGCCAAGACAGTTGTGGTCTTTTTGGTATTTTTGTTTTATATCACAGAACCATAGAATGGGTGAGGTTGGAAGGGACCTCTGGAGGTCATCTGGTCCAACCCCTCTGCTCAAGGAGAACCACCTAGAGCTGGTTGCCCAGAACCATGTTGGCTTTTGAGTATCTCGCAAGGATGGAGACTCCATAGCTTCTATGGGCATTCTGTGCTAGTGCTCAGTCACCCTCAAAGTAAAGAAGTGTTTCCTGATGTTCAGACGGAACCTTCTGTGTTTCAGTTTGTGCCCATTGCCTCTCATGGTATTCATGTTGATTTTGGTATTAAAAATTGCTGCAGCTTTAGACATTTGCAGTTCCTATGTCAACACCTGTGGTGCACCTGAAACACTTCATGTGGGGAAAAAAGGAATGTTAATATATCAACCTTCAGTCTCCTCGGTACTTTCCAAAACCTGTGTGATAGGGATAGCCAATCTTTTTGTTGCTGCTAGCAGCTGATGATAGGTGGCTGTGGCCCAGATGTTGGCCAGTGTTGTGGGACGTTTGTGTCAATAAAACAAGCAGTTTTACTTATTTCAGGGAGTTGCCCGTTGTTACTGAAGATCTGCAGTTGTCTTTTGTGTCTGCAAAAGTCACTAGCGATCAGAAGATTATAGAACAAAGTCCCAATTCTGGAAAAGTAAGAATGGTTGTACTGAGATGAATTAAGACTGGAAGAATTTGGGGGTTTTACCCACTAATTCAAGGGCTTGAGTTAACAGGCAGTGAGGACAGTAATGAATGCTGCTGTGACATTCTGTTCCTTTTTGTATTAATACATTTTTGTGAAGCTAATACACTGCATTTAATTCTAGATATTCTGTTCCAACTTGATATTTAATAAACTTTGTAATCTAGTACACGTCTCTGTTTTATTGTTCCCCTTCTTGACTTTGCTTTCCACCCCCTTCCCTGCCCATAGAACTCTCCAGAGCTCTCCTCTGCTCACTTCAGCTCTGTTCACAGCTGCATCTTCAGCTTGTCCTGGAGGCCAGGCAAAAGGCCAGCATGCGTCTGTGTCCTTTTCCTCCAGGGAGGCTTGAATCACAATTGTGTTAAGACCATGGACTTGAGTTGAGGTATGGCTAATAATCAGTTCCCAAACTCTTCCTGTATTTTTGAGCAATCCTTCTTGTGGTCTGGGCAGAAGGTTGTTCATAACTGTTACATGGGGGTAGCAGGTAAAGGAAAGTCTAGTCAATTAATTACCTTTGAAGTTGATGTGTTTGTTTTCTTGTTCACTAGTGAAAAACCTATTCTCAAAAGTGGGTACCTGGTTCTTGCTGCTTGTTGGAAACAGCCCCAGCTACCCTGAAAGTGGTGCTGCTACCACATTACATGACGATACACAAGGTCACTATTTATCCTGAAACAGAGCTGTATCCTGTTCTATAAAACAGGGAATCGATCTTCTCTGCAGGTGTCTATCTTTCATAATCTCTGACTAAGCCTTTAGTCCAGTTCCCTGGTGTCTTATTGCTTGATCACGTACTACTGGTGCATAGTTGGTGCATGTTGAGGTTTTGGGTTTTTTCATTTTGTTTGTACAATGCAAGCAATACAGGCAAATTGCCCATGAACAAGGGAATTTCAGCTTGTTCCTGCACCCCACTGCCATTGTTCTTTGCCCTCTAGAACAAAGGGGGTTTGGCTCTGCATCAGACAAAGAATGCCTTTCTTAACCAAGGCTGAAATGTATGAGACTTTGAACAAGCAAATGTAGTACGTGAAGTGGTGGTTCCCACTACCAAACCACATCTCTTCAACGATGCCTATTTAGGGAGCTCTTTCTCTAACATAAGCTTTGGTTTCTTCCATATCCATCACACATTCAGCTCCAGAGCATAGGGTCAGGCAGTCCTCTTCCAGACACGGTGCAGCTTCATTTTCCATATTTTGGGAAATAACACCCAGCTAGTTGTTTATGGTATGCCAGTCTACCTGTGCATTGGCAGTGTCTTTTCCTTTCAGCGTTCTCCTTTGCAATGCAACACAGAGTCTCCGGTCTTTTCTCTCCAACTCTTTCAGCTCCAGCCATTGTCTGCTTTTCAGCATATTATATAATTTTACTCATATTATAGTTCCTCTGTTCCCATCCTTTCAAATTAAGCAATTTCTTTCACATGCCTGATGTCTTACATGGTATTAGTAAGAAGAAAGATGAACGGTCTTGGTTCAGTGCTGAAAGGTCAAATTAGATTGTTGGAGAAATTGGAGTCTGAGGCTGTTCCAGACATACAGGGCAAAAACCTTTTCCTTTCTGAGTCTGCCATCACCAGAGAAAGCCTCGATGCTGGACAGTTATGGCTTATATACTGGCATTGCAGCATGAGGTTTCCTAACAAGAGTGATCCTGGTTCTGTAGTTTATACCCCTCCAGCTGCTCTGAAGCATCACAGCTACAAAAAAGGAAAAGACCACGTGAGTAGTACATTCTACATGTCTATGTGTAGCCTTTGGTGCCCTCCAATGATATTAAAACTAGAGGTCTTGTTTCAGTAACGGATAATACAGTTTAATTTTTTATAGCAAGCTATTTTTCATGCCATGTTCTTCAGTTTATACAGAGGCAGAATGATACTTGCATGTCTTGCAGCCAGCCAGCCACTGTATGGTCTCAACAGCTTTGGTGTCCACAATGCTTGAAACCAGAGTGGAGAGTTGTCATTTTAATGGGCGTGCTGAACTGCTCACTGGTCTTCAGTAGTGATACACTATCAACAGGAAGCCAAGGGCAAGGACTCCATTGAAAACCTAGCCACACATGGGGATCTTTGGGGTACTTTCCTACAGAAGGCTGGCTGTCCTTCCATGAGGCAACCTCTATCTGCTGAAAGGGTCTGTGCAGACATCATCTATTTTGCACACAAAGCTGAAACGCAGGTCTGCATATCTGTCTCCTTGGCATAGATGCCAATTCCTTTGAACATGCGAAGCAAAAGAAACCCTGCTGAGACCATGGCTTTAGCTCCTGCGGCCTGGAAGAGGCTGTGCCTGATGGCTGCTGCTGGTACTGGGACGACCCAGGTCTGGCCTGGAGGTACCTCCCAGTACTGAGCTGCAGCTCCAGCTATGAGCAGTGATAGAGCTGTGGGACTAGGGGCATTGCCAGCTGGAGCCCAGTCCTACCGCTCCGGAGCAAAGGAAGCGGCGTGGACCTGATGATTGTGGCCAGGTCCAACGAGGAGTGCAGATTGACAGGCAAGTTCCTGGTAACAAGTCAACTGGGAAGTCTGTCCCCAGGTCAGGATCAGTGTTAGGAAGTGGTTGAGTTGCCATCCCTGGAGGTATTTAAAAGACATGCAGATGTGGTGCTTAGGGACATGGTTTAGTGGTGGACTTGGCAGTGCTAGGTTAACGGTTGGACTCGATGATCTTAAAGGTCTTTTCCAACCTAAATGATTCTATGATTCTATAATGTCTTTGCATGCCTTTTCCTAGTACAGCTATTTTGAGAAGACTACGAAAATCATCCTTACAATAGGCCTCTTCTAAATGACAGCCAGAAGCACACCAGCACAATCTGCAGGTGGTGGGAGGTATTGCATGATACCTAGAAAAGGCCCCTAGGGCAAGGGGTTGACAACCATTTATTCAGCCTTTACTGTACCATCAGTTTGACTCATGCCTCCTCTTGCCCTTTGGTTACATATTGCCAGTAGCAGATGGTGTTCACTGTTTGCACTTGCAAATCAAGTTGATGGTAATTATATTTCCTGACACTGTCAACCTTGAATATGCAAATTGCTTTTCATTGCTAGCACCACCTTTCCCTAAGCTTAAGCACTATTTTAGCTGAGGTTACTATAATAGCTGACCATTCTACTACCTATTAACTATGATGAATTATTAATCATTAATTATTGCTATTAATTTAATCACTGCTATAACCACAACAAGGACAGTGACTGTTACACAGGCAAGCAGCACACTCCATCTTTTATTCAGGGTAATTTGGACCACATACTAGTCAGGCGTATGAGCACAGCTGTGTATTGCAAATGACAAGGACAATTTTCACTTTTTATCTTCTCTTGCCATTTTTGTTTTAAATGTAGAAACAGAGTACCAATTCTGCTCCCACCTCATAGGCCCATCCCCAGACATCTGTAGCAGTGCCTTTATGTAGAATGGAGCTCTAGGCATCTTTGTAAACAACAACAACAAAAAAAGCCTCCTTCACATTTATAAACACTCGTGGCATCTACGTGGACACTACTGCCAGTCACCTGCTTGCTGATGAACTGCCGCTTGCCATAGCCTTAGAGAAAAATCCCTTTTTGTCTCCTGTTGTATTATCAAAATACATATGTGCATACAACTACATTCCCTGTTGCAAGAATGAATAGACAGTTATTATCCAACTCAAATGCTCCTCTTCAATGGCTTTTCATGAAGCAGGATCAGGCCACCGAGGCGAAGGGCTCCGGAGCGG